CTCTACGAGGTTCCCGGCGGTGTCCAGGTTGACGGTTCACCGCCGGCGCCAGTTATTGCTGGAAGCTTAAGAGTAATTCCGGGGAGCTGGAGAGCTAGTTGGCAAGAAAAATCTCGACGGACCTTTTGGTGACTTTTGGTCGGTTGAAAATTTTGTTCTTAAAATTTGAACATTCGTTAGAGCTCTAGTATTTTTTGCCATGATATTCGATCTTATTCCCGCTCGCCATCTTGATCTCAGCTCGATCGGGTAACTTTGAAGGCCAAAAAGCAGGCAGGCGGGAACGGCCGTTTCGAGTCATCTTGATACGCGCTGTCGGTTTTCTCAAGATAACTCGAGCTTCAGGCCACCTACAGAGCTGGTCAGCACAGCTAATGCATCCAGAATGATCAGGCGCGTTCGCCTGTTGAATCCAGAGGTCTGAACTCGGTCTGCTAGCCGAGCTAGGGTCGCAAACCTATTCGTATTATTTGAGTCATTGTAGCAGACGCTCTCGGTTTTTCGTACTTAACTCGATCTGTAGAGCAGCCACAGAGCTGATAATCACAGAAATCGATTGAGAATTATCAGGCGCGTTCGTCTGTTGAATCAAGAGCTCTGAACTCGGCCTGCTCCCCGAGCTAGGTTCGCGAACCTATTGGTATTGTTCGAGTCATCTTGAGAAGTGCTCTCGGTTTTCTGTACTTGAATCGTTCTGGGGAGGGCTACAGTGCTGCTGGTCACAGGAATCGATTTCGAGACACCAGGCGCGTCCGTTCGTCGAACCGAGAGCTCGGAACTCGGTCTGCTGCTCGAACGAGATCCGCGAAACTGTTGTATTATTCGAGTCATCCTAAAAGCTACTCTCGGTTTTCTGCACTTAACTCTGGCTGTGTGGGGGGCTGCAGAGCTGGTAATCACAGGAATCGATCCGCAGACATCAGACGCGTCCGCCTGTCGCATTCAGAGGTCTGAACTCGGTTTCATACTCGAGCTCGATTGGAAAACTGTTCGTGTGTTTTGTTAGAGTCATCTTGAGAGGTCTATAATCGCTTGGGCTGGAAAACTAGTCGTTCTCTGAAATTCTTTTCCACATTATATATTGTCAGGAAGCTCTACGAGTCCCCCGGCGGTAAGAAAGGTTGACGGTTTACCGCCGGCGCCCAGTAATAACTCGTAGAGCTTCCCTTAGCAAGTTATTGCTGGAAGCTTAAGAGTAATTCCGGCGCGCTGGACAGCTAGTTGGCAAGAAAAATCTCGACGGACCTTTTGCTGACTTTTGGTCGGTTGAAAATTTCGTTCTCGAAATTTGACCATTCGTTAGAGCTCTAGTATTTTTTCCCATGATATTCGATCTCATTCCCGCTCGCCATCTTGATCTCAGCTCGATCGGGTAACTTTGAAGGCCAAAAAGCAGGGGGGCGGGAACGGCCGTTTCGAGTCATCTTGATACGCGCTGTCGGTTTTCTCAAGATAACTCGAGCTTCAGGACAACTACAGAGCTGGTCAGCACAGCTAATGCATTCAGAATGATCAGGCGCGTTCGCCTGTTGAATCCAGAGGTCTGAACTCGGTCTGCTAGCCGAGCTAGGGTCGCAAACCTATTCGTATTATTCGAGTCATTGTAGCAGACGCTCTCGGTTTTTCGTACTTAACTCGATCTGTAGGGCAGCCGCAGAGCTGATAATCACAGAAATCGATTGAGAATTATCAGGCGCGTTCGTCTGTTGAATCAAGAGCTCTGAACTCGGCCTGCTCCCCGAGCTAGGTTCGCGAACCTATTGGTATTGTTCGAGTCATCTTGAGAAGTGCTCTCGGTTTTCTGTACTTGAATCGTTCTGGGGGAGGGCTACAGTGCTGCTGGTCACAGGAATCGATTTCGAGACACCAGGCGCGTCCGTTCGTCGAACCGAGAGCTCGGAACTCGGTCTGCTGCTCGAACGAGATCCGCGAAACTGTTGTATTATTCGAGTCATCCTAAAAGCTACTCTCGGTTTTCTGCACTTAACTCTGGCTGTATGGGGGGCTGCAGAGCTGGTAATCACAGGAATCGATCCGCAGACATCAGACGCGTCCGCCTGTCGCATTCAGAGGTCTGAACTCGGTTTCATACTCGAGCTCGATTGGAAAACTGTTCGTTTGTTTTGTTAGAGTCATCTTGAGAGGTCTATAATCGCTTGGGCTGGAAAAACTAGTCGTTCTCTGAAATTCTTTTCCACATTATATATTGTCAGGAAGCTCTACGAGTCCCCCGGCGGTAAGAAAGGTTGACGGTTTACCGCCGGCGCCCAGTTGGTCGACCCGGCCAGAAAGGACAAAGTGTTAACTTTTGGGTGGTTTTACAATTTTTTGGAAGATATTTGACAATTCATTTTGAGAAAGCAGATTTTTCGCACCTGTAAACAACTATGAGGGCCTCTCTGTCTTAGTATGAGCTCTGTAGGCGCACTTTTACTATCAAAACACTTGGGGGAACCATCTTCATGTCGACACGAAAAAAATCAATTTTTCTCTTTTTCGAGAAATGCTTCCAGAAGCTCTCTCTTTCGACTCCGAGCACTCTTACGCGTGAAATGAGCTCTACGAGGTTCCCGGCGGTGACCAGGTTGACGGTTCACCGCCGGCGCCAGTTCCGGAGCGCTGGAGAGCTAGTTGGCAAGAAAAATCTCGACGGACCTTTTGGTGACTTTTGGTCGGTTGAAAATTTTGTTCTCGAAATTTGACCATTCGTTAGAGCTCTAGTATTTTTTCCCATGATATTCGATCTTATTCCCGCTCGCCATCTTGATCTCAGCTCGATCGGGTAACTTTGAAGGCCAAAAAGCGCACGGGCGGGAACGGCCGGTTCGAGTCATCTTGATACGCGCTATCGGTATTTTGTACTTAACTCGAGCTGTAGGGCAGCTACAGAGCTGGTGAGCACAGCTATCGCACTCAGAATTATCACGCGCGTTCGCCTGTTGAATCCAGAGGTCTGAACTCGGTCTGCCAGCCGAGCTAGGTTCGCAAACCTATTTGTATTATTCGAGTCATCTTGATAGACACTCTCGGTTTTCTGTACTTAACTCGAGCTTTGGGGCAGCTACAGTGCTTGTAAGCACAGCTATCGCACTCAGAATCATCACGCGCGTTCGTCTGTTGAATCCAGAGGTCTGAACTCGGCCTGCTAGCCGAGCTAGGTCCGCAAACCTATCAGTATTATTGGAGTGATCTTGATAGACGCTCTCGGTTTTCTGTACTTAACTCGAGCTGTAGGGCAGCTACAGGGCTCATTGTGACAGACATCGCTGGGGAATTATCAGTCGCGTTCGTCTATCGTACCGAGAGCTCTGAACTCGGCCTGCTGCCCGAGCTAGGTTCGCGAAACTGTTCGTATTGTCCGAATGATCTTGTGACGTGCTCTCAATTTTCTGCACTCAACTCGTGCTGGGGAAGGGCTACAGTGTTGCAGGTCACATATATCGATTTACACACATCAGGCGCGTCTTTCGGTCGATTCCAGAGCTCGGAACTCGGTCTGCTGCTCGAACTAGGTTCGCAAAACTATTATATTTTTCAAATCGATACTGTCGGTTTTCTGCACTTAACTCGGGCTGTAGGGGGGCTTCAATGCTGGGAATCACATGAGTGGATTCGCAGACATCAGACGCGCCCGCCTGTCGCATTCAGAGGTCTCAACTCGGTTTGATACTCGAACTGGGTTGCGAAACTGTTCGTTTTTTGTTAGCGTCATCTTGAGAGGTCTGAAATCGCTTGGGCTTAAAAAATAGTCGTTCTTTCGAGTTTTTTTCCACAGTATATATTGTCAGGAAGCTCTACGAGTCTCCCGGCGGTAAGAAAGGTTGACGGTTTACCGCCGGCGCCCAGTTTGACAACTTTTGCTCGGTTGAAAATTTCGTTCTCGAAATTTGACCATTCGTACCTCGTAGAGCTCTTCGTTATCGATGAGCTAGAGGAATTCCGGCGCGGGGTAGAGCTAGTTGGCCCAGCCGGCCGAGGCGGACAATGTGGCAACTTTTGGGTGGTTTTGTAATTTTTTGAAAGATATTTGACAATTCATTTTGAGAAAGCAGATTTTTACTCCGAGCATTGAGATATAAACTTCGTTCCCTGAGCAGCTCAGCTCTCTAGAGTGATTTTCAGTACCAGTTCACTTGGAGCAACCGACTTCATGTTGACTCCGAAAATTATCAACTTCATTTTTTCTGTAGAAAAGCTCCGAGAAGCTTCCGCTTTGATGCTGAGCTTTCTCACGGATTCAAGGAGCTCTACGAGGTTCCCGGCGGTGACCAGGTTGACGGTTCACCGCCGGCGCCAGTTAGAGCTCTAGTATTTTTTCCCGTGATATTCGATCTTATTCCCGCTCGCCATCTTGATCTCAGCTCGATCGGGTGAATATTACTATCGAAAAGCACGGTGGCGGGATCGGCCGTTTCGAGTCATCTTGATACGCGCTGTCGGTTTTCTCAAGATAACTCGAGCTTCAGGACAACTACTGAGCTGGTCAGCACAGCTCATGCATGCAGAATGATCAGGCGCGTTCGCCTGTTGAATCCAGAGGTCTGAACTCGGTCTGTCAGCCGAGCTAGGTCCGCAAACCTGTTCGTATTATTCGAGTCAACTTGATACGCGTTGTCGGTATTTTCTACTCAACTCGAGGTTTAGGGCAGCTACAGACTGGTAAGCACTCCTATCGCACTCAGAATGATCAGGCGCGTCCGTCTGTTGAATCCATAGGTCTGAACTCGGTCTACTAGTCGAGCTAGGTTCGCAAACCTATTCGTATTATTCGAGTCAACTTGATACGCGTTGTCGTTATTTTCTACTTAAATCGAGCTGTAGAGCAGCTACAGTGCTGATGAGCACGCCTACCGCACTCAGAATTATCAGGCGCGTTCGCCTGTTCAATCCAGAGCTCTGAACTCGGTCTCTAGCACGATCCAGAGTCACGAAACCGTTCGTATTCTTCTAGTCATTTTGAGAGCTACTGTCGGCGTTCTGCACTTAACTCGGGCTGGAGGGAGGCTGCAGGGCGGGTAATCACAGGAATCGTTTCGGAGACATCAGACGCGTCCGTCTGTCGCATTCAGAGGTCTGAACTCGGTCTGATACTCGAGTTGGGCTGAAAAACTATTCGTTCTCTATAATTTCTTCCGACAGTATATGTTGTCAGGAAGCTCTACGAGTCTCCCGGCGGTAAGAAAGGTTGACGGTTTACCGCCGGCGCCCAGTTCCGGCGCGGGATGGAGCTAGTTGGCCGGGCCGGCCGAGGCGGACAATGTGATGACTTTGGGCTGGTAACTCGTAGAGCTTCCCTTAGCTAGTTATAGCTGGAAGCTAAGAGTAATTCCGGCGCGCCCCAGAGCTAGTTGGCAAGAAAAATCTCGACGGAACTTTTGACAACTTTTGCTTGGTTGAAAATTTTGTTCTCAAAATTTGAACATTCGTTAGAGCTCTAGTATTTTTTCCCGTTTATTCCCGCTCGCCATCTCGATCTCAGCTCGATCGGGTAACTTTGAAGGCCAAAAAGCACTCTGGCGGGAACGGTCGTTTCGAGTCATCTTGATACGCGCTGTCGGTTTTTCGAACATAACTCGAGCTCCAGGGCAGCTACAGAGCTGGTAAGCACAGCTAATGCATGCAGAATGATCAGGCGCGTTCGCCTGTTGAACCCAGAGGTCTGAACTCGGTCTGCTAGCCGAGCTAGGTCCGCAAACCTATTCGTATTATTCGAGTCAACTTGAACGCGTTGTCGGTATTTTCAACTTAACTCGAGCTGTAGGGCAGCTACAGTGCTGGTGGGCACACCCATCGCATGCAGAATCATCAGGCGCGCTCGCCTGTTGAATCCATAGGTCTGAACTCGGTCTGCAAGCCGAGCTAGGTCCGCAAACCTATTCGTATTATTCGAGTCAACTTGATATGCGTTGTCGGTATTTTCCACTTAACTCGAGCTGCAGGCCAGCTATTGTGCTGGTAAGCACACCTTTCACACTCAGAATAATCAGGCGCGTTGAATTCGCCTAATGAATCCATAGGTCTGAACTCGGTCTGCTAGCTGAGCTAGGTCCGCAAACCTATTCGTATTATTCGAGTCAACTTGATACGCGTTGTCGGTATTTTCGACTTAACTCGAGCTGTAGGGCAGCTACAGTGCTGGTAAGCACGCCTATCGCAGGCAGAATGATCAGGCGCGGTCGTCGAATTCATAGGTCTCAACTCGATCTGCTAGCCGACCTAGGTTCGCAAACCTATTCGTATTATTCGAGTCAACTTGATACGCGCTGTCGGTATTTTCTACTTAACTCGAGCAGTTACAGGTCAGCACGCCTATCGCACCCAGAATAATCAGGCGCGTTCGCCTGTCGAATCAAAGCTCTGAAGTCGGTCTGCTGCGCGATCTAGAATCACGAAACTGTTCGTATTCTTCCAGTCATCTTGAGAGCTACTGTCGGCGTTCTGCACAAAGCTCGGGCTGTAGGGGGGCTGCAGGGCGGGTAATCACAGGACTCGATTCGGAGACATCAGACGCCTCTGTCTGCTGCATTCAGAGGTCCGGACTCGGTCTGATACTCGAATTGGGCTGAAAAACTATTTGTTCTCTGCAATTTTCTCCGACATTATATGTTGTCAGGAAGCTCTACGAGTCCCCCGGCGGTAACAAAGGTTGACGGTTTACCGCCGGCGCCCAGTTTCGTTCTCGAAATTTGAAAATTCGTTAGAGCTCTAGTATTTTTTCCCGTGATATTCGATCTTATTCCCGCTCTCCATCTTGATCTCAGCTCGATTGGGTAACTTTGAAGGCCAAAAAGCACTGTGGCGGGAACGCCCGTTTCGAGTCATCTTGATACGCGCTGTCGGTTTTCTGAACATAACTCGAGCTCTAGGGCAGCTACAGAGCTGGTAAGCACAGCTAATGCATGCAGAATGATCAGGCGCGTTCGCCTGTTGAACCCAGAGGTCTGAACTCGGTCTGTCAGCCGAGCTAGGTCCGCAAACCTGTTTGTATTATTCGAGTCAACTTGATACGCGTTGTCGGTATTTTCTACTTAACTCGAGCTGTAGGGCAGCTACAGTGCTGGTAAGCACTCGTATCGCACTCAGAATGATCAGGCGCGTTCGGCTGTTGAATCAATAGGTCTAAACTCGGTCTGCTAGCCGAGCTAGGTCCGCAAACCTATTCGTATTATTCCAGTCCACTTGATACGCGTTGTCGGTATTTTCTACTTAACTCGAGCTGTAGGGCAGCTACAGTGCTGGTAAGCACACCTATCGCACTCAGAATCATCAGGCGCGTTCGCCTGTTGAATCCAGAGCTCTGAACTCAGTCTGTTGCGCGATCCAGAATCACGAAACTGTTCGCATTCTTATTTTCTACTTAACTCGAGCTGTAGGGCAGCTGCAGTGCTGTTAAGCACGCCTATCGCACGCAGAATAATCAGGCGCGGTCGCCTGTCGAATTCATAGGTCTGAACTCGGTCTGCTAGCCGAGCTAGGTCCGCAAACCTATTCGTACTATTCGAGTCAACTTGATACGCGTTGTCGGTATTTTCTACTTAACTCGAGCTGTAGGGCAACTACAGTGCTGGTAAGCACACCTATCGCACTCAGAATAATCAGGCGCGTTCGCCTGTTGAGTTCATAGGTCTGAACTCGGTCTGCTAGCCGAGCTAGATCCGCAAACCTATTCGTATTATTCGAGTCAACTTGATACGCGTTGTCGGTATATTCTACTTAACTCGGGCTGTAGGGCAGCTACAGTGCTGGTAAGCACACCTATCGCACTCAGAATAATCAGGCGCGTTCGCCTGTTGAAGCCAGAGGTCTGAACTCGGTCTGCTTGCCGAGCTAGGTCCGCAAACCTATTCGTATTATTCGAGTCAACTTGATACGCGTTGTCGGTATTTTCTACTTAACTCGAGCTGTAAGGCAGCTACAGAGCTGGTAAGCACACCTGTCGCACTCAGAATAATCAGGCGCGTTCGCCTGTTGATCCAGAGCTCTGAACTCGGTCTGCTCCCCGATCTAGAATCACGAAACTGTTCGTATTCTTCCAGTCATCTTGAGAGCTACTGTCGGCGTTCTGCACTTAGCTCGGGCTGTAGGGGGGCTGCAGGGCGCGGGTAATCACAGGAATCGAGATTCGGAGACATCAGACGCCTCTGTCTGCTGCATTCAGAGGTCCGAACTCGGTCTGATACTCGACTTGGGCTGAAAAACTATTCGTTCTCTGCAATTTTCTTCGACATTATATGTTGTCAGGAAGCTCTACGAGTCCCCCGGCGGTAACAAAGGTTGACGGTTTACCGCCGGCGCCCAGTTTTGCGAAAATTTGAAAGATATTTGACTATTCATTTTGAAAAAGCATATTTTTACGCCGAGCATTGGCATATAAACTCCTCTCTAACAGCAGCTCAGCTCTCTCGATGCAATTTTCCATGAGCTGACTTCCAGAAACTGAGCGAACATGAACATCGAAAAAAATCGAATTTCAAGATTTTCGAAAAATCTCATTTTTTTGATTCTGTGTCGATTCTCTGCACTCTTACCAGTGAGAGGAGCTCTACGAGGTTCCCGGCGGTGACCAGGTTGACGGTTCACCGCCGGCGCCAGTAGAGCTTTCCTTCACCTACTAGAGGACTTCCGGCGCAGTGTGGAGCTAGTTGGCCCCTCGGACGAGGCAGAGAATGTGATTCTTGGATAGCTTCTTGGAGAGCTGGGGGTTTCAGATTTGAAGCCGGCGGTGGATGGTGAGGAGCACACGCCCACCTTCGCCGGTGCACGCGGCGGGCTCCAGGGTGCGCAAAGCGTTTCGGTAGAGCTTCGAAAGAACTTCGGCAGTTCTTCCAGGCTCCTAGGGATCTTCCTTCTTCCCGGAGAGCTGAGGTTTCAGATAAGAAGTCGGAGGTGGGTGGTGAGGGGACACGCCCACCTTCGCCGGTCCACGATCGCCGGAGCAACTCGCCGAAACCGACAGCGGGTCCGGGGGCGTGGCTTCCTAGCGTTTCCCGATATGCGTGGCTCGAGAGCGCAAAGCGCTTCGTCAGAGCTTCGTAATAGCTTTGGCAGTTCTCCAGGCTCCTAGGCAGATCTTTTTTGCGCGTTTTGCAGGGCCCCACGTATCGTAAACAGCGCCCTCTGCAAGCGTCTCCTGCGAGGTCTCCAGCGTCTAGCGCATTGTTTCAGGCGCCTGGCAGAGGTCCCCGTGCGGCGTTCTCTTGGCTTCGCTGTCTGGGTTTTGGACGCTTAGCAGTGCGCTTTGTAGGGCCCCATAAACGGCGCGCCTGCGCGCGTCTCCTGCGAGGTTTCCAGCGTCCCGCGCATCGTTTCAGGCGGCCTGGCAGCGACGTTCCGCGCTTGGCTTCGCTATCCGGGTTTTGGACGCTTACAATAAGTTAACTCGTCAGCTTCCCTTAGTTATTGCTGCTAGAGTAATTCCGATGCACTAGAGAGCTAGTAATTCGTGGGGCTTCCCTTAGCAAGTTATTGCTGTGAGTAAATTTGGGGCGCCGAAGAGCTAGTTGGCAAGACAAATCTCGACGAATAGTTTAGTCACTTTAGGTCGGTTTTTTAAAAAATTGTTCTTGAAATTTTGAGCTCTAATATTTTTCCCGTTATACTCGATCTTACTCACGCTCGCCATCTTGATCTCAGCTCGATCGGGTATCTTTACTACTAAAAGGCAATGTGTAACTCGAGCTAGGATCGCGAACCTATTCGTATTATTCGAGTCATCGTAGGAGACGCTCTCGATTTTCTGTACAGTTCCTGAGGTTATAGTCACAGAAAACGATTTGGAATGATCAGACGCCCGTCTGTTCAATCGAGAGCTCTGAACTCGACCTGCTGCCCGAGCTAGGTCCGCGAAACTGTTCGTATTGTTCGAGTCATCTTGAGACGTGCTCTCGGTTTTCTGCACTTAACTCGTGCTGGGGGGAAGGCTACAATGCTGCTGGTCACAACAATCGATTTGGAAACATCAGGTGCGTCCGTCTGTCGATCCGAGAACTCGGAACTCGGTCTGCTGCTCGAACTAGCTTCGCGAAACTATTGTATTATTCAAGTCATCCTGAGAGCTGGTGTTGGTTTCTGCACTTCACTCGGGCTGAGGAGTGCTGCAGGGCTGGTAATCAGGATTCGATTCGCAGACATCAGACGCGTGCGCCTGTCGCATTCAGAGGTTTG